ATATACAGAGACCCAAAAACCATATAGAGCTTTTATACTCTGTCCTAGAGACAAAGTTAAAATCAACTCAGTGGCAAGTGGGCTCATAGGAGTATCATAATTCTGCCTTCACATATACAGACACTATCAAATCAAGAATAGACTGCTTGTGCTGATGCATAAGAAAAAAGTAAATTTCTTATGACAACACAATAATCTACAGTATGTTCATCTGACTCAAAAGAGCACTTCACATGAAACCGGTACAGATTTTAATGCTGACTGCAAACCAATAAGCATCCTAGCAATCGTCATTTCAGTGAATTCTTGTAATAAGATCAACAAAACAATTTAACTCTACTTCAGAGAAGTCAGCTTGTCTACACTGAAAATACACCTCTCCACTTACTGTCTACTGAGAAGACACTTCTGGTCTAAGCCTTCTGAGCCCTTTGCTATCAAGTGGATTGTGATTCATAGTGACCCTACAGGGCAGAATCAAAGTGCCCCCAAAGGGTTTTCCTAAGCTGTAATCTTTATAGAAACAACATGCCCATATTTCGCTACAAGTCGTACAGGGGTGAAAATATATGTATATTATTTAGAACTGAATCTGGCCCATAATAAAAGATCTGAATAAATATTAGCCATTATTAGCATATTTATACTGCTTGGAAAAGTTCTGCCCTAATTGATTCAAACTTAATCATTAGTGTCTTTTTGTTGTTGTTAAGTAGAAACCATTTTTTTTCTTCCAAAGGGCTAATTTTCTATCTCCACCCAGCTCTGGTTAATCCATTCATTGCAGCATTTATTCATTTTTAGCCATTTTTAAAGACAAAAAGCTCTTAGCATTTAAATGAGAATGTTCGATAAGAATATACTTTGTCTGTTTTTCACATGGATTTCCTCAAGTCAGACTAAACCTAATAAACAAGTATGTGACAGCTTCCAATAGCACCTACTAGGAAACTCCACAAAGAAATAAGCATTAAATGTTTACTTCAACAGCACACTACAAAGACCAATGTGTCTCTTGATTCTGATATGTGCAGTTTTTACATAGCCATATTCCCAACAGATGCATGAATAAGCCACCAAGCAAAAGGATTCTGGTGACTAGTCTTGGGTTTTCTTATAATGATGTTTAAAGTTCGACTATTAGCTCAAAACTAATGTGTATGTCTGTACACCATAAGGAACTAGTACTGTTAGTATACAATGATCTTCCCATAATTTGATAACAGTCATATCAGGATAATAAAGTTGTCCTTTGTGCAAAGCCAACCTAGCAAAAAAGGATCCCAAGTTTTCTCCAGCTCAAAATACACGCACAGATGCGGCACAAGAACTAAGCAAGTTACCTCGACGTTGTCTGTGAGACCGTATTCAGAGTGAGGATTGTCTGCAACCTACAAAACAAAACAC